CATGCTCATCTATGTCTATCGAGTTGGTGTGTGCTGTTTTCGGTGAAGAATTAGGAGTTGGAGTACTGGATTTGCTGTAGGCTAAGGCATTTTTATTTTTAGTTAAGCTGGAAACGCGGGTAGGGATCTTTATTTGACCTAAACTTGTGCGTGTATCAAGTGTGCTTAGTGGATGCGGGTGAACTAGACTGTTCCTATATTCATGCAAAGGGGGAGCCAGCACTAGCGGTTTAGGAGTGTTAGCATCCCTACCAGCTGTTTTTTCAACGCTGACAGGGACGCAGGGGATAAAAAATGATTGGGACCTTGTGAAGACCATGGTTTGTTATTCCACCTATTGTTAGGTACTAGTTGTGTCCTTGTATGGGTTTCGTGTGTACTGCTTTGTCGGTTAGTTCCCAGCAGACTTGTACCATATATCCGATCAAAATTTATTTGTGTGCCGTATTGTGAATGCCCTGAGTTGTTGGTGGTCGAGTTCTGACTATTGTCACTTGTACTCTTGAGGGTGGCATTGTTTTGGCGTTGGTTATCAGTGTGGGCCATGGTGCTATTTCGCACGTTGTGGGTGCCAATACTATTGACCGTGGGGAATGTGGGCTTACTTATACTGCCATTGTTGTTGTTGGCATGATTTGGGGTCATATTCTTCTTTTTTTTCCAATGGACTTATGGCTAGGATATGGCAGGGTCGACTTTCGGGGAATTTTGACTTTTTGTCCGGGATTATTTAGTGACATGTCTATATCTACGGTGATAGGGGGTATAGTTTTGTTGGCTATTTCATTACAATTTAGTGGCCTTGCGGTTGGTGTCGCTCTCTGAGAGGATAATTCTGTGTGGTTTGAGAGGGGTGGTGCGGTGGATTCTATGGTATCTCTCAAAGGGATGGGTATAATTGCTGCTTGCAATGTCCTATTGTTTATTCCACAATTAGACTCAGTGTGATAATTATATACGCGCCTTTCTATGACGGTCTTGTCCACCGCAACCTTTATTAGTTTGTAATTTCTGGCTGAAGTGCCTCGAAGAAGAAACCATGAACCAAAGGTCATTAACACGGACATGAGAAGTAGTGTGAATAGAAGTGAATGAGATGAGTGACATATTTATACCTGTAATACGCTTATCTAAAATACTTATCTTGTGCATTATATGTCTCCTAACTGTTCCATTTTCGTCTTCCTCATTGCAGGTCGTCAGTCTTCGTAGACATACTACTAGATGTCGTCATGCATAATGCCTGCAAGCAGTCTTTCAATATATCCACCTCCCACAATTTGTTGGTATGAAGCCCTGAGATCATTCACTTTGGGCCTTAGTATAATTAGTACGCTTATTTTACGGATGCAATGACATGCAAGACTTGTACATGTTGCTGTGAAGTTTGCTTGTTATAACATTCCCTACATAGTAAATACAATGCTTGTGATAACAATTCGTCATTATCTTTTCACTGCGTTGATGGTTGCGCATATATTAGAAGAAAACTAACCTCGTTGCACTAGTTCTCGAAAGTACTTTCACGAAGTACCCATACTTCCGCTTAGTACCAATTGCTACCTGTGGTCCATTTTTGATTACAGCTTGATTCCACACCGTGTTTTTTGGTACAGGTATGGAATTTTCAGCATGTGATATCGGTGGTCCAAATTTTGCAGGCCAACCATAGAAATCAGGTGTGCGTCGATCACTAGGTAGTTTATGAACAAGTTATGACGAAAATCCACAGGGAACCCACATGGTGCCCTCCGCCATGGTCACAACATATCCCGCCCTTCTGACAGTTTTCGATCTGGAGTTGTTTTACCGATATGATGGTGCTGAGGAATTTCCAGCTGTGGCCTGCTCTATGTGAGTGTGGTTGATAGGTGCCATCCAATAGATGCCTCCGTGTGGCCAGAGTTGGATGAACACTTCAGCGAGTATGAAAGCCCACTGTGTGGTGTGTTTACAGCTCCTACACATCTTAGCTACTTGTCGGTGTATATGAAGGCCTTGCTTCCATCGTTATGATCGCTGTCCTATTTTAACAAACATGCTCACTTGGGCATTGTTTTGGGGTCTAAGTCTCTCTCTAAGACTCTAAAATTCCGAGTTCCACCACTTCACTTTCACGTCTTTCACTTCGGCAAACAAGTAATGTATATAGAATCTCACCACCTCACTTCGTTCTGAGGAGGTTCATGAGAAGTTAACCTTTGGGCGAGAAACCACCGTTCGAACTAGTTAGACAATTAGAGGGCAGCCAGACTTACGTGCTATCACATTTTTCTTTGACTCCACATGCATCCTGGTTGCAACTCATCTACTAAACTATTTATCTCACTACGTACCTGTAAAACGATTACTCAGCTATTATTAAACATTGATTAACAACGACAACCATGCCTATAAAGTTTAACATCTACTGTCACCATCGCCTTTTTGGAAAAATTTACAAGTACCATTGTGCACCCAAACATAACTAAATCTACAAAATGTGCCCCCAAACTGGGTTGAATATTCCGTTCTACATTTCTCATAGGGGCAGTTAAATGAAAATGTGCTATATCTAGTGGTTTGTGTCGAATACCAATATGTCTCTTCCTTATCAGATGTTCACCACATTACTTTCTAGAAAGCCAATTAGTCAAGCCTCTTGAACGAAATTGGACTCGCTAACAGCCAGCTTCAACACTCATGACTTTTGTGTGACCATCTCTCCAGCTGGACCTGATCTTCAGCCACACTACCTGCTGACTCTGGCCTGACCGACACAATCTGGTGAAAATGCTGACAAAATTATACAAACATATCACTTATTTAAAATTAGTACACCACATGACTATAAATCAAGGATTAGATTCCATGCCGTGCACAGCAGTTATATGGGGGAATAAACTTCAAGCTTTATTTTTTCCCCAGGTATTTTTAATCCGTCCAACACATACTTAAGTTTTTGTTAATGTAAAAACAGTATCTCTATATTTCTCTTTGTGCTTCACTGAATGACTGGTCAACAGATTGTTCCTTGAGAAAGGACAACAACCGTGTAATTTCATCATAAATCAAATTTATGTAATTTAAATAATACTTATCCATGCCCATACAACTGGTGTGCTCCTGAATATATACGAATAAATATATTATTATAACACCGCCCCAACTAGTGAAGGAAGAATATAGCACTTACGGCTGGTGCACTTGCTGGCAATGATATAAAGAGAGTGTAGGGACACAATCACAACATAACGCAGCCTCCTAGTACCTGTCACCTGAATACTCAGGCGTCCAACGTTTGCTTCATTCCATAAAGAGGAACGAATTGAACGTTGGAGAAGAAACGGATGAAGTTCAATTGATCCATGAACTTCTTTGTTCCTCTAAATTAATCCCTTAACAGAATCAACTAGGGTTGATTTGATCCAGTGAAAGAAGTTACTGCGCGTAGAAGGATCTTGAGGAACCTCTAACTTCCATTGTGTGCTTTGGACCTGAAATAGAAAGCAGAAGAACAACAGAAACCCCAAAGGGAAAGAGTATGCTCTTAATGGACAGGCAGCAGTACCAAAAGTATGACAATCAGCCCAGTGTTCGGCGACAGAAATTCGTAATATCCAAGTGTGCAGAAGAGTTCCTTGAGATGGACGTGAACAAATCTTCAGTCAGTCAGAATGTTACTATTAAGAAAACATATTAACACTGGAATTTGATTCTAAACTCATATCTGGAAGGAGAAAGGAATTTTTTAGCATTTGATGTAGGTACTATTAAGTGGAACAAGTAATTTTAGGACAAGAGGAACATGGATGTAGCCGGGAGAGATGAACTCTAAACTCAATATTCCGTCATTTCACCTGAGTCATTTATATAAAATGACGACTTGGTGCTGTCGAAGACTACAAGTTGGTAGAATGAGAGCTGAACAAATCATTGACACTGGTGGTTTTAAGTGTTTGCAACGTGAGTTAACTTTGAGTCTGTAATACGAAGCGATAGTTATGTGACAACAGACTGGACAGCATAACTTCTGAGTTAGCCTCTGCTGTTTCTGTCGAAAATGAAATAAACATATGATGTAAGAGATGGCAGAAAGCATTTAGCCAGTGATTTGGCTTCGTTTAATTGACAGACCAGCCGTGTTGACTTTAGATGAGATCACTGCACTGTGGAACAGTGGACAGGAAATGGTGTGCATTTTGCAAGGTGCAACATTTGCGTATCAGTTGCTAGAGCATGAATCGAAACCACTGGGAAGAAAACTCCTAGCGAGTGTCTTCGATCAATACCTGTTATGGCTGACAGTGTTGGGGTTGGTGAGATAGACTGACTATTGTGCAGGAGATATACTCTACTACTAAGTTGGAGACTCAAGTGAAAGAGTGGCTAGATCGTTATACCACCATTTAACCAATTGGGTGGTTCAAGGGTTGGTTTCAGTGCAGCTTCTGCAAAACTAGAAATCACCCAAGAAGTTATTGAAGTAGTCGTAGAAGTTTCCTGCATTAGACAACCAAGGGAAGTAGTGGGGCTGTCAACAATACTATTAAAACATGTGCTTGGTTATTTTGTGCAAAGTAACCACAACAACTTGCAATTATTTCAGCGTCCCAACACCTGTGATGGTGTATGTCAGTGGCGTAGTCACTGGTGCGGATTTGGTTGACAAGGTGCTCCTTGATCGAAGCATTTAGTAGCTACCACGCAACTCAACTAATTTTGGCTAATGATATTCAGAAACGGGACAAGACTTCCAACATGCTCACGAAATATCCTAGTTATTAAAAATTACCTCGTTGTTATTTAAGTCTGATATTACCAGCATGACTGATGACTTACTTAATTTGTTATTATAGCAAGCACCTAAAATTCAAGTTAACCCATTTCTAGCAATAAGAATTGACCTCGTGTGGTATGAAAAGGCGAAGCTAGTTGCCTGATTTGAAACCATCTCCAAACAAGAAGCAACCCCCCAAGGAATCGTAAGGTTCATACAAGCTTCCTAATATACATTGAGTGTTGAACACCAGGAATTACAAGACTTGCGTTACGTTGCTGATGTTTTTTATACGTTGTATTAGGTGGGTTTTCCTTTCTTTTACGCTATCCCGTCATGTTGAGTTTTGCTTTTAAAATTAAGAAGATCACTTCATGGGAACAACTTAACAGTTAGGCGGATAATAAAACTTGATAATAAACAATCATACATATCTTGCTATATATAGTAATATTTTGAATATGTGAACCTTTTATCATTGTTATTAGATTATCCTACTTCAGACATATTTCAGCATCGGGCTACTAGACAAGCATATAATTATTTCCGCATGATTGTAGGCTTGTGACAGCTATGGGTATTCCTACAGTTGTATGATCTTCATACATAATAAATAATAATTTACAAAGATATTTGAAATTTGACTGCTGTCAAATTCACTATTTTTAGATACACAGAATTCTGTTGTGTGAAATAGTCATTTTACGGACATTTAATAGTATCATATACTAATTAACTTACCTGAAAATATCGCTTTCCTGCCATTCTCTGATAACTTTTCGACTGTCGTAGCCTCTTTGTTCTGCTATTGAGGGAATTATTTCCCTGTGGTTTCCAAAGTCGCTAGAAGCTTAGGATCAACATATTAGCCATTCTCTTTTAATGCTACTGATCAATTACCCATTTTTATGGCCAGCAGTGATAATTTTTCAGCGTCATTATATTCTACATCAGGACCTTGCATCCGATTTCGCAGGCATACCTGGTTCAATTCATGTGTCCTTCCAGACAGTAGCCGCGGTATATCATATGGTGAATGACAGTCAGGCGATAGTGGAAGCATAATGCATTTCTCTGTGGCAACTATAACAATCTTTGACCATCATCTTCAACCTTAGAAAGAAACGTGCAATTCAAACTTTTTAACAAATCTCCATTCCTTTGTTGGGTGTTAGCTGAAAGCTAATAATCCCACTTCTTGGTACTCAAGGCCTACACTAATGGTCGATAAGGTTACAAGGGTTGGCCACCCGTCCGCACACCTCTTGAAATGCTCCCATATAACCGGGCGTCTTACATAGCCTCTCCTGAGGAAGTCCTACTCACTGCCTTCACGTAGCGGAGTTTTTCACCAAAGTGAGAGGGCGAAAGCGGATGCCCGGCGCTCTTCACCGGGTTGACTGTCCATTGGATGACAGTCTAGGGGAGATGGCTAAACCCTGATTCCAAACCTCCAACGACTGGCGTATGAAGTTCACTAGAGCTCACCGGCAGACGTATGGACAAAGAGCTTGTTGGATGTCCTGGATGTCTGGCCCCATTCAAAAAGGCGTATGAACCGAACTCCGGTCACCGGCTCCCAATGGATAGTGGACTTCCTACTCCACTCCTACTGCCTTGTAGGTCACACTTGGTTGTGTAAAGGCTAGAGCTGCACTCTAAAACAAAAGGTCGAGCGATTCTGGGGACATCATTCGTACCAAATTCCCATGAAACTTCATGAACTCTCTTACAACGTCGCCTTCGGTGGTTTGGCCATGTTCTGCGCCGACCAGATGACGATCTGGTCAAATCGGTTCTAAGTCCCTCGCCATTGCCATCTTGGCGATGTCGCAGGGGTGGACAGCTGAAAACATGGCTTGGTACAGTCAAGGCTGATATGGAGTGCCTGGGGTTACAAATCGTCTACGGACTCCGTCTGTGGAACAAGATTTGGATAACCCTGTCGCAAGACCTTGCATCAGCGCCTGAGCAGCGATGATTCGAGATGTTCATGAAGCCGGCTCATCCTCCCGTAAGAGATAGCCGAAGTAAAGTAAAGTAAGTAAGATAAGGTTACGACAGTCCTATTCATTACATTTGTCCTAGCCTAGTCCTCGGTTTCTCCTTAAATGTTAAATAGAGCTACTGCATTAGTTTGCCTCGACTATTTGTACCCCTTAAGAATCAGATATTCGCATTCGTCTTTTCGCTTCGGTGAGAGCACCTCCCACTTTATGAGAGCAGGGAATAAGATATTGCACAACTAGAGTTATAGACATATGGTCACATTTCGAGAAGTGGGCCGGATTCCACCTACGTTGATGTATATCAAGTTATTAAATAGGGCTTTCAGCAAAGTGATGTGTCTGTATCTGTGACTCGATGTCGGTAGCCACCAAGTAAGATAGTGTCTCCTTTTGTTTGAACTTACTGCGATACAAAGTGATGATGTGAACCGAATTACAAGAGACGATCATTAATATGGTTTATCAGAATAAGACTCCATACATACTAATGTGTTTCGCACTAACCCAACCTTTCTACCTGGTTATTAAAATCACCTACTAATATTACCATATCGGAGCGTTTAGCTTTTCGCCGTAAGTCTGATGACTTTTAGTAAAATCAGTCTTTACTTCATGTGAACCCTCCCAGTCAGTGGCTACGTAGGCGAAGATTAGACTCAAAATTTGCCGGGCATCACAAATTTTTGTTATTCTTATGGGTGTATGCGAATGAACAATTCAGGTGACTGTTAACTGTGTTTTACTCGGGCGGTGATTTTTCCACTCTAGAGTTCAATGTGTTATTTCTATATTAACCACAGTGGAATGGCTGGTAAAATGATGTCTGTAGACTCACCACAATAACTGGGTGTGTGGTCAGACAGTGTAATATAAATCCACAGCCTTAGATGCTGGAATGGAGTTTTTAAGTCATTCACAGTGGTTTCATAGTTAAGATTTGAAGCAACTGTGTGGGTTATAGTATTATTAATGGAAAAAGTTGGTGAAGATAGGGTAATTGACAAAGATGAAGAGATGACAGACCCGTTTGGGTTCTTCGAACTAGCCACCCACATTATGGGATTTAATTTCTTGAATTTTTTTATAGAGAAAAAGGATTATTTGTGTTCTATTTAAGATAGCATCCATTTACGGCCGATCACATGCACCTTTTTGAAAGTATTAGAATTCGTAAAGTCTTATCAATCCCCGAAACTTTACGAAATGTTATAAGGTTGACTAGTTTATGTTGCTTCTGGAGCAAACATTTCTAATTTTACCTCTTAAAACTTAGCTGACTGACTTTTTGAATGATAGCTCACGCAGATAACACTTAAATGTTTTATTCGTCTAAGTATGGTCATCTATCTAGTCGAAGTACTTTCAATCAGTGGGTCCAGCGTCCAAGTCCCTGTCTGCCTATTCCAACCTAGGAAACTAAGTAGTTTCATCAGTCTTCACACGATCATTATGTATTTTACGAGTTGATCATGGATTGATATCAGTCAGAGAAACACTGAAACCAGGGAGTACTGGACAGCTGTTTCATCCTAGTTTTGGGAATCATCTACAGTATGCACCCACTCCAGGGTTCGAACCCAGGACCTTCGGTTTACAAGACAAGCTGGCTCGTATACAATTTAGCCACTGGGACGCGATTCACTAGCTTACAGCCTAGCACATGAAAGATGTCACGTTAACATTGTAAACCCTTAATACCAATTGTATTTTAAAATCAAATTTTAAAAGAAAATAATCTATCCATTTATTTTAAAGGGATTATTCACTTTTAAACTGAAAACCCCCCTCGTGTATGAACGTGTCTAGTTGCAGAGAATTGAAAGATGTTACTCCACAGTGCAACTAGTTCATGAGAAAGTGTTCTACAATCGTATAATGTCAATGAATTCACAATGTTAATATGCATTTGCATGCATGAAATAATTAAAAGCATCTTACTGAAAAATCCTTCTGGAAGGTAAGTTTGCATTTTTTACAGTAGAGTTTATAAAATTAGTTTCTTTTCTTTTTCATGCGTCTGCATTCCTAATGTAACATAGGACTTCAATGTCTCAACCTTTAAAATTGTTGTTTTTTAATAGGTTGGGGCTGATAACCTCACGTCCGACCTTCTCTGTTTTCCAGTTTCACTATCGGGTAGTAAATTAAATGAGGTTTCAGAGTGTTCATCGGTCGGTAATCGAATTGGGACCGATTGGAGTAGCTGTTACTTGTTAAATCATCTGATGTAGCTCTGTAAACTGGCAGATTGACGTTACAATGGAATGATTGAATTTAAAATAAAAGTGTAAGCTCTTAAAAGCTCTAAACCAGTAGCTGTTTCCTCTCTAAACTCAGTGAATAGAGACTGCCTATTCGGTAGCCCAATAAAAATCTCTAGTTCATAGTTTAGTGTAACTCAGATTTCATTTTTCTGCCTCAATTATTTTCCTACTTCAAAGTAAATTTAATTTTTGTCCGGTATGAGGTAATCAAAAAGCTATTAAACCGTAAAATTCTGGTCTTACAACTCTTGTAATTATCTTATGTTATGCTACGGGCTTTGAAGTATCACTAGCAACGGTTTTTTTTAACTATACGGGACAGAATTGCTAGACCTACGTGTTTAGCGAGCCTAGAACTGGTTATTAAACTAAGTGGGACTCCAGGCTTTCAGCAGTAGCTGCTATCGCTTCATACTGAAGATCAGATGGCTAGCTGGAAAGCATATACAGCCAGGAACTCTGGTCTGGTAGTCAGTGAAAATCAGTCAACAACCTCAACAAATATACAGAAAGAAGTGGAGATGAAATGGATATACCTTCAGGTGATACCTTTAAATGCCATGACATGTTAGGCTATCAAGTAAAAACCTTAATGCGAAGTGACAAGTGCGGTGTCACTTCGAGGACGACAGGGTAAAGATCATGTGTTGAGTAGATGAAAGCTGGTGGGTAGTTGTGGGGCCTGTTGAAAATGGTATCAGCAGACAGAATGCAAGGGATATGCACTGTCAAAGCCCAATGTACGTTTCCGTGAAAACACAAGTAATCAACAATGACAATAATATCCTAGTTTGAACATGTTGTCCGTTGCCTGTGTGTGTGGCCATTATGCTTAATGCTTCATATCAAGGTTATAGAAGATGTTTTTTTTATTTCACATAGAAAATGTTTGCAGCATTATAAGTTTTCACGACACTTTTCATCACTAGTTGACTGACATTGGTTAGGAAGTCAAGAGATATTGGTTAAGTTTTTGACTACTGCAGAAGTATAGTGTGCGCCGATGATTATACATACATATGGAATACAACTTAGAACCGTTAGATCTCACAATGCATTCTTCACTATTCATCCTCAGATTCAGGATCTAATGACTCTTGTGTTCCAACCCTTTTCAATTTATGATGTCTAGTATGAGAATCATTTGTCCAATCTCACCATTTCTCTTTAACTTTGCCATCGATGACATTCTGGAGTCAGCTCTGAAGGATGTGCGTGAAGGTGGTGTAGATGTGCTACCTGGAGATAGACTTTTCGACCTCGAGTATGCAGACGATATCGTCTTACTGTGCGATAGCATGCAGGCTGCCCAAATCGCACTCAATCAGTTGGCGATCAGTGTCTGTAAGTATGGTATGTGCTTTGCGCCGTCTAAGTGCAAAGTACTGTTACAAGATTGGCAGGAGCCTGTACCTGCACTCACTCTTGCGGGTGAACCGCTTGAAGTTGTCGATAAGTTTGTGTACCTAGGTAGTTGTGTGAGTGCTGGCGGAGGGGTGACGGATGAGATTTCCAACCGTATAATGAAAGCTAGGGTGGCATACATCAACTTGAGCCACCTCTGGCGCCGTCGCGACGTTAGCCTGGCTGTCAAAGGTCGGGTATACAATGCTTCGGTGCGGGCTGCGCTGCTCCACGCCTGTGAAACCTGGCCTCTCCGAGCTGAGGATGTGAGGCGACTCTGCGTGTTCGATCACCGCTGTCTCCGCAGGATTGCTTGCGTTCGATGGCATCATCGCGTGAGTAATTCTGAGGTTCGGCGGCGTGTGTTTGAACACAGTGGAGATCACCATTCATTGAATGTCGTCATCTGGAAACACCGGCTCCGGTGGCTTGGACATGTGCTGCGAATGTCACCCCAGAGGCTTCCGTACAGGTCTCTGTTCGCTAGCCCTGGGACGGGTTGGAAAAGGCGGAGAGGTGGTCAGCCCATGACGTGGCGTCGTGGGATGAAGGATATTTGTGCTAGATTAGCATCGGTTGGTGTGTCACGACTCCCTGGTTGGGGTCTGAGAGATAGCTCAAATCGATGGCTCGAAACGTTATCGGATATGGCCAAGAATCGTAATCAATGGCGAATGTGTTGCGATTTCCTTCTTTCTTCCCTTCCTGATGATAGTTAACGAACACTGTTTGAACCTGTTAAGAATGAGTGTTTTCCTTCCAGATGAAGTTCATTATTCGTTCTCTACTTATATATATATTTCTTTTCCTGTCTTCCTTTTTTTCATCTATGTTGTTTTATTATTATTGTGTGGCGCATCCTTCTTGGTGCCATATTGTACCAAGTTTTAATGCGTTTAAATAAATAAATAAATAAATAAATGAGAATCATTCAATGTCGACAGTGGATATCTTATTTCATGTGACAGTTGGTTAACCCTATAGGATCACAGATTCTCCTCAATGACTTACGAAACGCACCTTTTAAAACTAGTCAATAGTGAGCATTATTATTATTATTTTTCCCTTGGGTTTCTAGTGGAACATAGGGCTTCAACTGCACGTCTCCACTTGCTTCTGTCTTCTGCTGTACTTTTCCCTTGCATCCATGTTATTCCACACTGTTTCAACTCCTCTTCACACGATCTCCTCCATGTCACCCTTGGACGTCACACTCGCCGCTTCCTTTTCAGGTTCCACTCGAGCATTGGCCTGACGCGCGATGTCACCCAGCGGTCTCCACAGCGAGTGTCCAATCCATCTCCACTTTCTCCTGCATATTTGTTGAGCGATTGGTTCTTGTTTTGTTTGTTCCCATAATTTCTTGTTGGTGGTTCTTTCCGGCCATCTGATCTTCAGTATAGAACGAAGACAGCTGTTTTTGATAAAGGTCTGCAACAGGCTGTTGGAAATATTCTTTGTGACCCGCCAAGTTTCTGATCCGTATAGAAGAACTGACTGACTTGACGTTTTTATTGAAAATCCGAATTTTGTTGTTGTTGATGCTGAGTGACGAAGATTTGCAGATTGGTTTCAGGTTGATGAATGTGTTTCTCGCCTTCCCGATTCTCGCTCGATTTGACATCCTCGTCCGTTCCTCCTGTAGTTGAGACAATGCTCCCTAGGTAAGTGAATGAAGTAACCACTTTCAAATCCCTCCCGTTGATGGTGATTGGCGCTGGATGTTGCTGCTACTGCTGTTGTTGTTGGTTGGTTGGTTATTTTCATAACCTCCGTCTTGTCTATGTTCACCTGGAGTCATGTCTTTGCTGCTTCTTCGACCAGTTTGTCGGTTTCCGCTTGTAAGTCTTCGATTTTTTGTGACATCAAACATAAATCATCCGGGAAATCCAGGTCTTCTAGGTTCTTCACGTCGGTCAGGACAGGATATCCCTGTCTTCTCGTTTCCCACTGTCTGACGCATAATCCAGCCCAGTCCACCACAATTAGGAATACCATTGGTGATAATAAGCACCCTTGTCTGACTCCTGTGTTTACTCCAAACGCTTCGCTGAGTTTTCCGTTGTGGATCACTTGACATGTGCCGTTGTCGCACAGCTGCTGAATAAGGTTGATGAATATTTGGAGCATGGAGTTCTTTATTCCGTTGGGAGAGTTTGATGGAGTTGCGTTCAATCTATATTTTTCAGATTTATATCTGAAACCTGTAAGCTCTTTTGAGAGTAAGTATTGTGGATATATTTGTCTTTGATTAGACAGTCTTAGTGATGTCGCAGTGTGTTAATTCAAATCCTGTATTGATTCAAGCTTGTTCAAATAATCCAGTACGTCTCAACAATCTTGAAAATTGCATGATTTGCATTTTGAAAGTCTAAATCTAACAGTGTACCAGTGGTTCAGTGGTGGTGGTAGAATGATGATCACTAATCATGTGAGAGAGGTCCAGGGTTTGATTCCCGGATTGACGTACTACGAAATCTCGCCTGGTTCACTAGCCGATAGTTGGAAGACTCAACTCCCTTCACAAACTATGTAAGTGTAGCTAACAGTTTTTGGTGACACTCGGATCAGTGCTTAGTTGTCTCTTCACTCTAAAGACAGACTTCATAGTCTCATTGAGAAGTTAGACACAAAAATACTTTTGGTGTTTAGTCTCAGGCCTACGCTTACACGAACTGATAAGTGATCGAAGTCCACACAAGTGTTCCGAAAAGGAGCGTAGGTCTTCCAACTGACTCCTTCCATTCGCTAACTTATGGCTAGTTAGGCTATTTATGGCCTATTGTATTGGGTTTCCCCTTCTGACATTTACCAGTTGAGATAATAATTATTTTTATTTTTAAAACTAGTCATGGACAGCAACAGATGATTATCAGAAGAGCATTGTAAGAGACGATCACTGCCTTTGGTTCGTCAACGCTGAACTACATGCATACCTTCAGCACACTCTTAGGACTAGTTCGTCTTCCCTCTATAAGTATAAGTAAATCAGCTGCTCAGTTGGCTACATCTGAGCAGTCCTCTTTTTTAGATTCAGCTTGACAGTTTCTGCCAAAATATGTATCCTTTATTACGTTCGTAGAGCCAAGTTTTTTCTATCGTCTGATTCTTTTCTTGAAAGCGCACCCCCCCCACAGTTTTGTCTAGCGCTCCATTTGAACTTGAATGAATGCTCTTCTTGTGAGTGATGCTTTTGATGAGCACAGGAATCAAGTTTGATCATGGATTGATTTCAGTTAGAGAACCATTGAAAACCAGAGCGGAGTACTGAACAGATGTCTCGTCCTCG